GTAACCCCATGTAAAAATTTTACATGGAAATTGCATGAAAAATCTTCCATAATCCTCTAGTATAATTATTCTTTATTGTGGAGCTACTGTCAGCTACGGTTATCGCTATTCGACAATAAATATAGTTTTTTTTATCTTTTTATAACATTTCGATAAATTCAAAAATGTGAATGCCAAGATTAAAATACCATTCACTAGCGAGATGATCTGCCAAGCCATTCCATTGGGGTAGATCTTCAATTTTTTAGATCGCACCCTTGTCTTTGTCAGGTGCTTATGTAATTGAATTACATATCTACAAATAGAAGTTTGTGGAAAATGAAATAGGAATCACGCTTCTGTCAAACATGCGACCAATTATCGTTTTCTTGACCGTGATAGATGTTACAATCAAAGGACTGGATATCAATGACAACGTGTTATAATCTATGAACTATTGTTTTATTACATTCCTGTAGAATTAACTAAGAGGAATGAGAAGCATTGCATCTAGAAACTTTTTTGTATCACTTATCAATTAAAATTTTCTATGTTTGTTAAATATAAATGATAATTCTTACATTTGGTTTGTTTCGAGAATTTTGATTCGATTGTCCGATTGTTGAACGAGCTGGTGCAGTTGATCGTTCGAAACGAGTATTATTAAAAGTCATACGAACATTGGATATACCACGAATATTGCCTCCTGATCGATTATTATTGAAATTAATAGTATTTTGTGAGAATCGAGCACCACGATTATCACGACCATTGTTTCGATTTGCATCTCCGCCTCGTGCTCGATTACGACCACCTCGACCACGTCGTCGAGTTTTGTTTGAACGTTGTCCTTTGACCATAGATAAAATATGTTTTGTATTTTCTTCTTCGACAGCTAGAATCTTTATAATATTATTTCCTTGTTGTTGAAAACGACAAACATCTGGCCATGAACGAAGTAGTGCTATCAATGATGAATAACCTAAATCTCTATATGGAAGTTCTTTATTTGAATTATATAATCGATAATCATTAAGTAATTCATATTCACTAAGTCCATTTTTAGCGGAAACAAGTAATGAAAGAATTTCTTGCTTGATTATACCAACATCTAATTCTGACATTTTAAATTTATTCTAAAATAAAAATATTTTCAAAAATCATATTGTATTAATGTCATATAAAAGTAAGATCTATGTCTTTGAAAGACAATTCATTTAAAATGAAAATTTATTCAAACACAACATTAGATAAGAAAAATTTTCTCTATTGACTTCAGTCTATTATTTGACTAACTAAATAACTTTTTTTCTTTTCTATTCTATGACATAAAATTGCTGTGGTAATTTTTGAATGTAAGTTACTTCCTTTTCTTAAACTAGCAATTTTTTTGGAAATTTTCCTTTTTC